AGGACATATTTAGGAAGGAAAATGAGAGTAGAATTTAATAATTGAATGGATACAGGAGTTAAAGAGATCTGAGAGACAATAAGAAGTTGCAGCTTCGGCGACTGAGTTGTATTAATCAACTGAGTTAGAGAAGATAGAAGGAATGGGTTTGGGACAAGACAGTATTCCAAATTATAGAATACTACGCAGCTGTTAAAATGATAGAACTCGAAAGAACTCAAAGATGCATGTTTAAATGAAAGAAGCAATTTCAGAATAGCATAAATGGCATAATAATAATGAGTAGTTAACATTTATCAAGTGGTCATTGAATGCCAGGCATTGTACAATGAGCTTCATCTGCAACAGCCCTATGAAGCAAGTAATTCTATGATTATCCTCATTTACAGCCAGACAGTCAGACCCAGATACAAAGAGGAGTAACTTGCCCAAGGAAATCCACCTGTAAAGTACCAAGCTAGCATGAACCCAGCTCCGTGGCCTCTCTGCCTCCTATGTCTGCACAGTCCCCACGCTGTGACTTGATCAGGCAAAGATAAGAGGTGGATAAAAACAAATCAAAAGAGAGGCCTGGCAAGATTCTTCTTGTTTGAGGACACCCAGTCACATGCTGTTGTGAACATTCACTTGGGCAGAGAGTGAGCCAAGACATCAGCTGATTGCTTCTGAAAGAAGTGGCATGATCGAGGTTCCCAAAGAAAGAACACCTTGTCTTTTCACATGTGCTATATTAGCCAACCAAGCCTGAAATTTCAGCAAACACCTCTGCTGCAGGCATTGGTGGCTCCTCCTTCTCCCTTCATGTTACCAAACACTGCTCTGGTGGCTTCTGGTAGGGAACAAATAGGTCAATGAATGACATCCAGGTTGTCCTGCAAAGGTGCCTTGAAAACAATAATCTACCATTAATGATATGAAACAAAAGAAATCCTTTTTAAAAAACAAATAGCACATTGATGTGATAGCTACCTTTTCTTTTAAAATCACTTATATTAAATGTGAAATACATTCCAAACTGGGCATTTGAACAAAAAAAGAAAACAAATGGCTACTGAAAGGCAGAATCCTTTTTACTGTAAGTATCTGTGCATGTAAAACACATTATTTGGGATTCAGTGAATTTGTACAGGAAAAAGCAAGTAATAAAGACAGATGAGACCCTTCTTATGGTCTGAAACCACCTATGCTGGCAAGTAAAATACAATGATTATCTTTTGCCCTAAAACTTTCTATGTGGTTCAACTTCCTTCTCCAGAAGTGCATATTTTCCTCTCAAAAGTGCTTTGACTATACAATGTATTCTCTTACGATACTGGAGAGTATAGGATGTCTGGGATTGCAGGCACCAGAAGTCTCTTAGTACATAAAAATCTGCTCACCAAAAGAAGATAGTCTTTCCTCCATTACTCTACAGATTCTTACAGACCTAAAATACAGGTCAATCGGGGTCCACAAAGAAGTGATTTAACTTCATTTACTTTTTTTTTTTTTTTAAATTAAGGCTCTTCCTTCCCAATATTTTACAGGAAAGTTTTCAAGCATTAAGTAGAAAGAATTATCCAATGAACATCCATAAAGCTATGGCCTAGATTTCACAATTAACATTTTATTATGATTTTCCTTATCACATAACTACCCATCTATCCCACTCTCTATTCATCCATCAATTCATCTTATTTTTACACATATTTCCATTTAAATGTCAATATAATAAAAGCTTTTGAGCAGGTGTGTGGCACGACCAATTTGCATTTTCATTGTTAGCTGAGTGAAGCAGGGAACACAGCTGAGAAGCTCCGCAGAAATGTCCAGACATGTGCAGAGTCACGAGTTAGAGAGACTCAGGTTTGAACCCCTGTTGTCACTTTTTAGCTATGTCACCTTGAGTAACTCACTTATCCTGTTTCCCATCTATAAAAATGGGTTGATGACTATGCTTGCTTACCTTATAGAGTTCTCATAAGAATTATATAAAATTAATGCATGTAAACTACTTATTACAGTATGTGTGCTCTGATGGCTGGCTTTTATAAGCGAAAGAATAATAATCAAAAAACAAATTACAAGATCCTGTTTTCCTAGCCTACCTCCAGTACATTTGCCCCTCTATTTCCCATCCAGTAGCCATCTTGCTTCTTTCACCCTTATTCAATATCTTCTATGATCCATAATTTGGTTAATACCCTAAATGTCCTTTCCCTGCCCATTCTGTCTTTTCATCATACCCTTTTGTCAAAACTGCAGACTAGATGAACTCAACTATCTACACACTCCCCATGTGCTGGTCATGAGAGTCACTGAATAGGGTAGAACTGGCTTGCTCTTAATGAATGAGCACCAACCCGGAATAAGCTATCTGGCCAAATGAATCCTGAGATGTCGATCTCATAACTCCCTCTCCCACTCTCCTTGACTCTTTCATGTTTTCTCCAGTCTTCTTCACTTCAGACTTTCCCCATCCCACACCTTCCTCCTCTTTTAATAGAATGTCTCACTTCCTAATCGACAGAGAAAACATAACCCAGCAAAGAGGAACTTCTTCAACTCCCATATCAAGCATAACGAGGCTCCCATATCTGCACACTGTGTCACCTCTCTTCACCTCTCCTTACAACAGGAAGCTGTCCCTCTTCTGGCAAAGACCAACCCCTCCACCTAGGCCTTAGATTCCACTCTCTGGACTTATCTACAAGCCTTCAGCAATGACAATCCCCTCTCTCACTTCTGTTCCACTAGATCTTCACTTAAATTTTTCAACATGCCCAAATTGCTCCCAGTTTTACCAAAAACCAGATGACTAAGGGAATGTCCTTATTTTTCGGCAATGCTCCTCAAGTATATATTGGTAGGAGAATATGATGTCTGCAGCATACTCTCAAATGGTTCTAAAATATGTGTGTGTGTGTGTGTGTGTGTGTGTGTGTACATAAATAAAGAAGAGAAAGTCTTGAGCTAAGCCTCAAGGAAGTCCAATTGGAGATGGAGGATGAGCTGCAGAGCCCATATATTTATATATATTAGCAATATAAAAATTACATTGAAATTAAAAGAACACAAATTCCATTACAATAGCATCAAAAAATAAAATATTTAGAAATATATTTAATAAAAAATGTGTAAAGTATGTACACTGAAAATTACAAAATAAATGTTGAAAGAAACCAAAGATCTAAATGAATGGAAAGATACTCTATGTTCATGGAATAGAATACAATATATTATAATGAAAATACTGTCCAAATTGATCTACAGATCAATGTAATTCTTATCAAAATCTCAGTTGGCTTCTTTTTATTTTTTTGCAAAAATTTGAAAAAAACGGTTTCAAAAAATACATATGGAAATGCAAGAGACCCAGAATAGCCAAAACAATCTTGAAAAAGAACAAAGTTAGAAGACTCATATTTCCAATTTCAAAACTTACTGAAAAGCCATAGTAATCAAAACTGTGTAGTATTGGCAAAAAGTTGGACATATGGGTCAATGGAATAGAATGGAGAGTCCAGATATAAAATTTTATATCTATGCTCAATTGATTTTTTTAATGGAAGTATAGTTGACATATAGTATTATATGAGTTTCAAGTATACAACACAGTGATTCAGTATTTATATACCTTATGAAATAATCACCATAAGTCTAGTAACCATCTGTCACCATACAAAGTTATTACATTATTGACTATATTCCATATGCTTTACATTACATCCTTGTGACTTATTTTATAACACAAAGTTTATATCTCTTAATCTCTTTCACCTATTTTCCCATCCCCCACCTCCCTCTACTTTGGTAACCATCAGTTTGTTCTTTGTTTATGAGTTTGTTTCTGTTTTATTTGTTTTGCCTTTTAGATTCCACATGTAAGTAAAATCATATAGTAATTGTCTTTCTCTTACTTATTTCACTTAATATAATACCCTCTAGGTCCATCCATGTTGCCACAATGGCAAAATTTCATTCTTTTTTATGGCTGAGTAGTATCCCATTCTATATACATACCACATGTTCTTTATCCATTCATCTTTTGATAGAAACTTAGGTTGCTCTCATATCTTGGCAATTGTAAATAATATTGCAATGAACATAGAGTATATCTTTTTTGAATTAGTGTTTTCATTTTCTTCAGATAAATATCCAGAAGTGGAATTGCTGGAGCATATGGTAGTTCTATTTTTAATTTTTTGATGACACTCCATACTGTTTTCCATAGTGGCTGCACCATTTAACATTCCCACCAACAGTGCATGTGAGTTCCCTTTTTTCTACATACTCACCAACACTTGCTATTTAGTGTCTTTTTGGTAATAGTCATTCTGATAGGTTTGAGGTGATATCTCATTGTGGTTTTAATTTGCATTTCTCTGATGATAGTGATGTTGAGCATCTTTTCGTGTGTCTGTTGGCCATTTGTACATCTTCTGTGGAAAATTTTCTATTCATCAATTGATTTACACAAGGTGCTGAGGCAATTCTACGGGGAAAAGACTGTCTTTCAACACTGAAATAACTAGATATCCGCATACAAAAAAGCAAAATGGTACAGGGACTTTGAAAGACAGTTTGGTGGTGTCTCAAAGGTTAAATAGAGTTATACTTTGTCCAGGCAATTCCACTCTTAGGAATATGCTCAAGAAATAAAAACATATGCTCACACAAACCCTACACAAATGTTCATAACAGCTTTATTCATAATAGACAAGTGAAAACAATCCAAATGTCCATCAACTAATGAATGGATGAATAAAATATGGTATATGCACACATGAAATATTTTTCAGCATTAAAGGAATGAAATTCTGATACATGATACAAAGACAAACTTTGAAAACATCATAGTTAATGAAAGAAGCTAGTGTTAAACAAGACAACATGAGATGCTCAACATTGCTAGCTGTTAGGGAGATACAAATCAAAACCACAATGAGATACCACCTCACACCTGTTATAATAGCTATAATCAACAGGACAAGTAATAACAAATGTTGGAGAGGATGCGGAGAAAAAGGAACCCTCCTACACTGCTGGTGGGACTGCAAATTGGTACAGCCACTATGGAAAATAGGATGGAGGTTCCTCAAAAAACAAGGAATTGATCTACCATATGATCCAGCGACCACTCTATTGGGTATTTACCCCAAAGACTTGAAAACTCATATCGAAAGATATTTGCCCACCAATGTTCATAACAGCATTATTCACAGAGACCAGGACAGGGAAGCAACTGAAGTGTCCTACAATAGATTATTGGATAAAGAAGCTGTGGTACATATATACAATGAAATATTACTCAGCCATAAGAGATGAAATACTGTAATTTGAGACAACATGGATAGACCTCAAGATAATCATGCAAGGCAAATAAGCCAGACAGAAAAAGTTGAAAATCACATGATATCACTTATATGTGGGATATAAACCTAAAAGCAACAAATGAACAAGACAAATAAACAGAGACTCATGCACATGGACTATAGACTAGTGGTTACTTACCAGAGAGTAGGATGTGGGGGAAGGGAGGAGGTAGACTGGGTAAAGGGGGTCAAAAATGTGGTGACAGAAAGAAATCTAACTATGGGTGAACACAGTGTAAATATATATTTACCTTATTGTCAAAGTGTACAGCTGAAACGTATTGAATTTTGTTAACCAATGTCAAATGTCACCATAAAAAATAAATAATAAATAAATAAATAAACAAGACAACATGCCCCAATTGGGGCCGTCTCTATCCTAAGCCCCACGTCATTAAACCTTTAAAAAGGTGAATTTTATTGTACGTGAATTACGTCTCAACAAAGCTGTTTTAAAAAAAAATAAAAGAAGCGGCAGCTAAGCTCATCCACACACACTGCCTGCAAATTCTGGGGGTTCCCCAAAGGCAAGGCGGCAGAAGCTGCAGAGATCGCATGTTAGGGTGGAGGAAGGGAAGGGGTGGATGGGCAGGAAACTGAAAGTGTGTCAGAGGAAGCGGCCATAACTTCCCAATTGTGAGAAAATGACCTGAAGCGTTGTGAGAACCCCCTCCCAGCTCCCAATCCCAAGGCATTTCTGAGTGACAGAGACAACCTGCTTCGAAAAGTCACCACTTAACACTCACCGCCCTGAAACAGCAGCACGCCGGAATACGGAAGTGGAGGCGCCATATTTGTTATGGGAAAAGAAGTTCGAAAGGAAGTCACTGGAACCATCTTTGCTAAAGGCGAGCAAGGGCAATAGATGGTAGAGTAGCCATCTTTACTGAGGGCATGCGCCCAGCTATTAAAGCTTTCTGCAGGAACATGGCTGGTTTGAGCAATTTCTAGAGAAGGATTACTGTTAAAATGCGCTTGGTGGATGCTAAAGGTATTTTTAAAATGTTTAAAATGAATGTCTACATTAAAAAAAACATAAAAAGTGAGTAGGAGCCTGAGTGTTCAGGAAATTCAGTTTATATGTCATTCTTTAGTTCCCATTTCCTTTGATATGAACATACAGTGAGGAAGGGGAAGAGTAAGTATTGTGAAAAAGTAAAGAGAGAGAAAGGCCTGCTGGCAGTTCCCAGCCTTTAATCCATTTCTCAGAGCATCTCACACTTATCTTTTTCATATTGTAGCATTGATCATACTTTCCTGTAATTGCCTGTTTTGGGTTTTGGTCACTTGCTCCCGGCACCGGCCCCCACCACC